GCTGTGCAAACGTGTTGAGTTTAACCTTTGAAAACTTGCTGATAAGCTGTTATCGGCCCACGGTTGAAATAACAACCCCTCCCACCTTTGCTGAGTTGGGGTAGGAACTTCCCAAGGCTTCAAGGCCTGGGTAGGGTAGAGGAACAGCATGAATCCAGGCACAGCAACCAGGCTGGGGACAAAGGTTACTCTCTCAAGAAATCAGCCACAGCTGCTACTTTCATGCTGTTAATGCAGCCTTCCCTGTAAGTATTCGTTTTGCACATTTTATTTTAAACTACAGATGTGATGGTGAGAGTGCAAACCGTGTTCTAGCGGTGAGCAGCATCTTGAAGAGATCTTAAGTTGGGCTCAGGAAATGAAATTCCAGCTCCGTCGCAAACAATGCTGACAGTCCTATTGATTTCAGGCCAGCTTGGCTTTCACCACAAGTAGAAGAATTTCGCAGCAAATAATGTTTTGTTTGTTCGGTTCTTTAAACAAAATCCATCTGCAGGGGTTAGCGTTTGAATCCGAAGGCTCAGAATTCTGCTGGGACTTTGTTAGGATGAGAAATACTAGATTGTAAGAATTCCTTGGGTCCTTTATGATTATTTTAAAAAGGAAAAAAAATAATCAGATGAGCAGGTATGTTTTGTAACCCTGTTTCCAGTTTGTACGATTTCTGTATTACGTACGATTGGCTTTTGTATTTGTTTCTATTTGAATTAACAGTTTTTACCAAGTAAATGCATTTATGCATTCTTAAGAGCTTAAATCTGTGATACACCCTGCTGTATTGGCTTATAGATGGATGAAATCTTTCAGGTTGGACCTGGAAAGCAAGTGTTAAAAGCCGATAGAATATTATTAAAGAGGGCAGTAAATGGAAGTGCGGGGAGAGCTGAAGTCATCTGGTGGTGTAAGTCCTTCGGCCCCAGGAGTCCCTTCTCGTGTAGGGTCCTGACAATCCCTCCCTTTGCTAGCAGTTACCAAATGGTGCTTTAAAATCTGTCCTGAGATGGCTGTATTTTTTCATGTGAAATTCAATAATTCATTCCGATGGCATTCTGCCAGCTTCAGGCATCCAGGGTCTCGTGGTTTTATTTTTTCATGTGAAATTCAATAATTCATTCTGATGGCATTCCGCCAGCTTCAGGCATCCAGGGTCTCATGGTTTTGGTTTGGTTGTTGGTTTTTTTTTTTATGTGCTGCTAGATGAGAATTGTGTTTAGAACTATAATGTAATCAAACACAATCTTCCTGGTTTTGTGTGGTTTTGATTCTCTAAAGTCTGTGTTATTGCTTCATAATTGTGTTTAGAACTATAATGTAATCAAACGCAATCTTTCTGGTTTTGTGTGGTTTTGATTCTCTTAGGTGTTATTGCTTATGTGTTACTGCTTCATTGTAGTTTCTACTTAAAATGTTTGGGTTTTTTAAGCAAGGAAATAAACCTCTGTGTGTTTACATGCACCGTTCCTGTCTTAAAACAGTTGTAGAAATTGGTATTACTACCTTTGGGGGCTTTTTTTCATTGATTTAATAGAACTACTGTGTAAATTTTCTGGTAAACAAAGTCAAATACTTACATTTTTCATATACAAAAAACTGATACACTCTACTGGTTTTGTGTGGTTTTGATTCTCTTAGGTGTTATTGCTTATGTGTTACTGCTTCATTGTAGTTTCTACTTAAAATGTTTGGGTTTTTTAAGCAAGGAAATAAACCTCTGTGTGTTTACATGCACCGTTCCTGTCTTAAAACAGTTGTAGAAATTGGTATTACTACCTTTGGGGGCTTTTTTTCATTGATTTAATGGAACTACTGTGTAATTTTCTTGTAAAAAAAGTCAAATATTTACATTTTTAATATACAAAAAAAGATACACTCTGAAGTTTGTCTAATAAACCTGTTAGAATGTATGTATATTTACTAATTTTTGTCTTAAAGTACCCCTCCTTAACTCTGTTGGAAGGAGTTATTTGCTGCTTAATAAATGTTGTTCTCAGCCTTGTGCTAATTAGAAATTAAATGACATACCTATGTGGTGTGTTCCCTATTTCTGGAAGGGTTTTTGCTAGGTGTTGGGTATGGTCTGTGCCAAGGTGTAGGTATACCTGTTCATCTGCTTTGGAGTGGTCAAACATCTAAGCTTCTATAAGAATTTGGCTGCCACGTCTCACTCTTGCTCGTGTGTCCCCATCTCCCTCTGGGGACATGTGGTCCCCGTGGCCGCTGTACTGGTGCCAGTGAGTTGCTGACTGGGAGCTTTTGTAAAACTACTTGGGCACCAGCTCCTGCTAGAATAATGCTGGTATTGATGACTGGTTGTCTCAGCTTGAGGTAGTGGACAAGCAGAGCTCTGCTGGCTTATCTTGCCTTGGGGATTTGATTTTTCTCTGCAAGCCCTGGAGTAAGATGGGAGAAGTCATCCAGGAGGAGCGTTGCCACTTCTTAAATAACTCCATGTGAGAGGACAGCAAGAGGTTTTGGTGCACGGGGGGAATTACCTTCTGCTGCTGGTGATGTTAATGGGTGAAGAGATTTACTACAGTTGTGTGTGTGGTGTTGCCGGTATCGACGTGTTGCCTCCAGGAAGGTGATTGACCTGGAAATTATTCTGTAAATAAATGGTTTTTCTGTAAATAAAAGGCAGGGCTGGTACAAATGCGCTTGCAAATGGGTACTTTCTTGGGCAAGAACATTGCTGTATCATCACAGAATCACAGGATGCTATGGGGTTGGAAGGGACCTCTGGAGATCATCCAGTCCAACCCCCTGCCAGAGCAGGGCCACCCAGAGCAGGTCCCACAGGAACGTGTCCAGGTGGGGTTTGAATGTCTCCAGAGAAGGAGACTCCACCACCTCCCTGGGCATCCTATGATCATCCTCCTTTCTATTGCCCAAATACTGTAGCCTAACCTTGACTTCACAAGCTTTCTTTTATTGGGAATGTGGAATTTCCTTTGCTCTTTTTGTGACAAATTAGAGAAGATAAGGAGCGAACTAATACAGGGCTAAAATGAAATGACAGCAGCGACCAGACTTACAGTGGGGTTGGTGAAAGACCAGCGTGTCAGTGCTGGGAATTTGTTCTGCAGGAGTTGTTGTTGTGACTCCTTGGTCAGTAATTTTATAAGGTGTATTCAATACTAATTCTTGAGCTTCTCTAATTGTGAACTGTTTTTCTCAAATACAAAAATTTTCCTGTTTGCTGTAACACAGCATAACTGTTACTCTCCTAAGTTGTATTTATAATTGTAGAGATCAGTTCCCAACGGTCCTTTTGAGATTGTTTTTCTGATGTTACCATCAAAAGCAACTGTTACAGAATATGCAACTGCCAGAAATTAAATGTGCCAAAATAAGAGGTAGCAGAAGAAGGTTGTGAAGAGTGTGGGGCGAATTGCTCCGTGGGAGGGACCCCATGAAAACAAACAGCTCCCACTCACAGTCCTTGCTGTCTCCTATACCAGAATGCTGGTGGCACCTTCTTTCTCACTAAGGATAGTTGTTACAGATCTCATTATTGTGTTTGCTATGTAATTTTAAACTAATCCTCAAACTTAATCTTGGGTCAAATCAAAGTATGCAGTTTTGAGATGGGAGGGTAACATGATGCTTATTCCTACTGGTTTAATCACAGAACGGTTAGAGTTGGAAGGGACCTTAAAGATCATCCAGTTCCAACGCCCCTGCCCTGGGCAGGGACACCTCCCACCAGACCAGGTTGCTCCAAGCCCCCTCCAACCTGCCCTTGAACCCCTCCAGGTATGGGGCAGCCACAGCTTCTCTGGGCAACCTGTTCCAGTGTCTCACCACCCTCACAGCAAAGAAGTTCTTCCTGATGTCTCATCTAAGAGATGATCTTTCAGTTTAAAACCATTACCCCTCATCCTATCGCTACACCCCCAGATCAAGAGTCCTTCCCCATCTCTCCTGTAGCCCCTTTCAGGTACTGGAAAGCCATTATAAGGTCTCTGTGGAGCCTTCTCTTCTCCAGGCTGAACAACCCCAGCTCTCAGCCTGTATTCCAACACACTGCTTGTCCAAGCTTTATGCTCTTCCTTTTTTTTAACACTCAAGATTGATGAAAAAGGTCTCCAATATGAGGTCTCTTCAAGGAAGAGTATGTTCAGTGTCACCCTAAATTGCAGTTATCCCATCCACAGCTCCAAAACCTAGATCTGACATAGGTTTCAGTCCAGTGGGCATCTCATTCCCTACTTTAGTGGTGGGTTTTGCCAGTGTTAGGTTGATGGTTGGACTCGATGATCTGGAAGGTCCCTTCCAACCCAGACCATTCTATGATCCTGCAAAAAAAATAGGAATAAGCTGAACTTCCCAGACTTTGGGAGTGGTCTTGAGAGCAGCTGAATGGTGTGTGCTGCCTAACGAGAGGCAGATGGTGCCTGTGGCTCTGCAACCTTTTGTTGGCCAAACTCTTTAATTCTGGCAAGACAGTTGTGCTGGTATTACTGAGTGTCTCCTTCAGTGCTGAAGTAGCCTTGCTGTGTCTGTGCTGATTAAGGATATAAGGAGAACAATGTTTGTGGGTAGGACTGTAATAAGTTCTCCTAAAACTTGCTTAAAATTAAGAAAACAAGTAACTTGGAGTTTAGGTATAAAATTAAGTGAAAAAAGTCACTAATAGATAACCTTAAAGTACATTATTTTAAAACCTAATGCAATCCCAAATGATGCAATTTAGTCATATGGAAAGCTGTGAGCTCTTTTACTGGAGCTGCTTGCTTAATTTAGATTAAAATTGTTCTGTAAAAGGATTAGAGAGTGTATGCCTGCGCTAAGAAAGGATGTACTAACTGTGCTGAGGCCTTTTTCTACCCCTAGCTTCTTTTTGAAAGTGCATGCTCAAATCTGGATGTTTTCTGCTGAATTTAAATGTGCCACGTAACATCAGGATATGCAAATGAGATGTTTCGGATGGATCGCTGGAGCGTTTTATTTAAATACATTTATGTTCAATAGGATTCTGAGTTTTTTCTTGCTCTTTCTAGAGAGAAGAATTCAGTGCTGGACTCTCCTGACCATTCCTGGTGGTGCAGCTCCAGAGAACAGCTGGGTTTACCTGACTTGAAGAGGAGGCAGATGTGCAGGAAGCCACGAGGACATGGGCTTTCAGTGCAGCTGGAAGAATGATCAGGTATCGGCGGCTGTTGGCATTTAAACTGTTTTAACGAGTGAGAAACTTGAGAAGATGTGAAACAGTAAAGTGCTCACTCCTGCCCTTGTCCTTAAATTTTAGGTGTGCTTTTATTTCAGTGGTGGGAGTGAGGTAAGTTTAATTTCTCAGTTTATATTGTGTCCACAACCTCGGTTGCAGACACCTGTAACAGGGTCCAGTTCAGATGGGAGAGAACAAGCTGAGTGCCCAAGGGCTGTTTGTGTGGACTCAGTTGAAGTTAATCTTACAGTGTTTACATTTTTCAACTGTAGCTTGAACTCTGAAAGCATTTGAACCTATTAAGTCAGGTTGTACTGATTTTGCGAGGGGATAACTTGGATATATTATTTTTCTGTTGTTATAAGTACTTTTTTGTTGTACTTACTCTGGTGATTGGCTGGAGAATGCAAATGTCCTCACAGGAATCCGGGCTGTTGTAGCTGGAGTAGAGACACCAGCCAAGCTCCAGAAAATGCAGAGATTCGTGGCTCATTTTGAAATCTGAGCAGGTTATAGGTTCGGTACTATAAGAACTATGTGTTTTTAGCTATTTGTTTGTTTTCAAGGAGCTGTTCATCATTTCTAAAATAATGTCAGGTGTCTGAAGTAGTGTCAGACTTTACTGTTGGAGGCAACTGCTCTGTGCAGGGACTTGGCTGAGCTGCCTCACTCCTTGCTGATTCTGTCTCTGATGTCTTCTGCCGTAGGTAGGGCAGAGCTTGTGCATCCCTGGTGTCCTGCTTCCCTTTGGCAAGTATCAGCCATGCTCAGGGACTTCCTTTAGCAAGCTCACGGCCCGTTTTGTTATAGTGAAAGGGAGATTCATTAAAAAGTATCTTGGTGCTTGTTTGTTTCATACTTCTGTTTGCAGTTGTGCTGCCTGTCTGTGAGCAGGCAGAGCCTGCATCCCGGAGGAGGATGCATCCCGGAGCTCAGGGAGGGAAGCTGTGGGAGGCTGAGCATGGCCAGGGGAGGAGGAAGGAGTCAGAGATGCAGGAGGCAGCCAGGAGCCTGCAGCTGGTGCAGGGAGACTCAGGGAACACTTGAGAAGCAGAAAGTCCTCAGAGGTGATGAGAAGCTTCCCCAGGGAGCAGGCAGCACTGGGCAGAGTTCGCTGCAGTCGGACGTGGAGGGCTAACTGGAAGCCTGGAAATCAGGCACAGTGAGCAGGGAGGGTTGTGTATAAATCCTTCCTATTTCTAGTCGGACTGACCTGGTCTCTCTAGAGGTTCCCTTACTGAGAGCGTCCTAGTTCATATTCCAAGGAAACTTGGTTTTTTTTCTTCAGGGAGCTCCCCGTGAGGCAAAGTTCTCTGTGTGTTGGGCAAAGAGCTTTGACTGACGAGGCATCCAGTCTCAGGTGTGGTGATCCTGATGACTAATTCCAATTTCATTTTCTGAGGAGTGGCCAGCCTTGTAAAAGCACCTTTGGACATTATAGGATGCAGAGATTTAAGATGGCTTTTGGTGTACTCTTCTTCCCCTCTGTCCTCAAAGTGAGTCTTTATGGTCTCTTGTCACTTTTGAGATGTGACATAAATGGCAGGAGGTTTCTTTCTTTCTGACTTGTGTTCTCTAATCTTCTAATGCATCTGTGTGAGCTTGCCATATTTTTTTTAATGTATGTAGCTTCTGATGTGTTTTGGATATTGCTATTCCTAAAAATGTATCATCTGTTGAATCCGTGTCATGCATGCATTTTTTTAGTTTTATTTTATTTATTAAAAATTAAATGGTAAAACTTGTATGTTAGTAAATGTGCATATATCTATGTGAAAAACTGAAAAGGAGCAAATCGTCTAAAAATTATTTAATCTTTTGAGAATTAAGTTTAGAGGAGTGTTTTTAAAAAAAATGTTTGTTGTTTTGAGCAAATCGTCTAAAAATTATTTAATCTTTTGAGAATTAAGTTTAGAGGAGTGTTTTTAAAAAAACGTTTCTTGTTTGCTTTAGAGATGATAGCTGAAAAATCACTTATTCTTATCTCTTTAACTGTAAAATTACCTAAAGTTTTCTTCAGTTAGTGAACATATATATCTAAATGCAAGAAAACGTTTAGTTGCTTCCCTCAAGGAGACTGAAAGTGGTTTTGTTCTGTAGGTTTTCTTTAAGTTTGTGTGACCTTTGTCATAAGGAGATACTTCATGCAGAGACAGCTGCAGATATGTAAGTTTCAGGAGGTGCCTGAGCCACCTCTTGAGTGGGATTGCAAGAAGATGTGAGATGGAGCTACATTTTGGGATTCGTTTCTAAATATAAAAGCTGTCAATTTTTACCCGAGAAGTGGTGGGTGCCGTAGAGGCAGAGAATCCATATATTTAGACTTTAGCTGTCTCTTATTATGAGTTATAATTAAGGTGAAGTATTTTGCCGAAGAATTAAATTCTCCCTTGATTTGAACCTGGTTTCATCTCAATGAAAGCAATTAGTTGCTTGAACTACCCTGTCCTTGCTTCATCAACACCAATTCATCAGTTGCTTCATCGATGTTGCTTCTTATTTATCTTATTTATCTTATTTTTTCCCAGTAGGAGACAAGGCAGTGTATGTTGGAGTGCTCTATGTGTAGTGGTGGCTTCAGGGTACAAACTACGGCTCCTTAGGGGGGCTATGACATTTAGTAGATGGCATGTCATGGGAGAGCAAGTGAACCAGGCAAGCTTCGTGTAGTCTGTTGTGGTTTTGTCCTCCAGTATATTTTGTATATATACAAGCATTTTCTGTAAATCTTTGCTTACTAATAAAGAGGAAATTGGAATTTGAGCGGGCTCGCCTCTCTCTGCTTGAGGGGAAGTGCGGTCACCTTTTTTACTCTGCTCATGGAGGACTGTGGGTTATAAAACATGCTTGGGAAAGAGCTATCCCGGAAGGTCCCAGGGTTAATGCTCCAGCTGATGTGTTTTTTGAACAGGACTTTTGTTCTTATAAAACATGCTTGGGAAAGAGCTATCCCAGAAGGTCCCAGGGTTAATGCTTCAGCTGATGTGCTTTTTGAACAGGACTTTTGTTCTTTTCTCTCTTAGCCATGGCCTGAATTTACTAATGTGGTGCTTATTTTCCCTGGATGGGCAAATCTTGTGCAATCCGAAGCTGATGGTTTGATTAAGTTGAAGTATTAGGACATTGGCTAAGACTTGTGTGCCCTTTCGGTGAATTCTATTTTATTTTTATTGTCCCTGAAGGACAGCTCTATGACTTAATTCAGAAAGTGAGTATGTGGAATGCCATAGATCCTCTCCTGAGAGTGTCCTGCTTTGAGGTGCCTTCTACATCCTACGTCCAACACTGGGCTTGAAAACAAGGATCAAAATCACCTCTGCTGACAAGTTTAGTGCTCTCAATCTGAATATTCTGGACCAAAAATCTGTTAGTCATGACTGCAACTATTTAAAGTGTTGTCATAACTCTTCACCAAGTGAGCAATCCTGTGTCGTGATACCTCAGGCAGATCAGGAGGACTCTTCTGGGGTCTGCATTTAGCAGCGGGGGAACAGCAATCTCTTGGGAGAGAGGAAGGAAAAGCAGTTAAGCTCTGAAACAAAAGCTACCCATAGCTTCATGAGTGACACGAGTCTGGGAGGAAGATGCTGAGCAGGTTTTATTTGTCTTGGGAATATTTACATAGGGCTCATCCACCATTCTTGAAGGAACTTTATCACAGTACTACAGAGAAAACTGGTAGTACTAAATATAGTGCCTTATTCTGGCAGTCTCTAACTTACAAATGCTTGAATTCTGCTGCCTTAATGGGCTTTCAGCAGTTTTTGTAGGTTTTTTTGGTAGAGATCTGAATAATATTCCTCAGAGAGGTTGTATAACAGTAGCAGGGATGGAAAGATTTAATTTGGCAAGACCTCGTACTGCAAATGATCAGATTAATTTTTTTAACTTCTGGTCTTGCTGCAAAGCTTTCAGTACTTCGATACCTTCATAGGAGAAGAGGACTGAAAGGTTCCAAAATATCATCTTGACCCTTTGCATCAAAGCATCATCATTATTGCTGGACAATTCTTGTGAGGTGATTATTTTTTATTTATTTTTCCTTTACCTTTTAATATAGGAGGCAACAGGACTTCCTTAGGCTGGCGCTCCCTCTGTTTACTATTTTGAAAAGTTCTTCTAATGGCCTAAGTTAAATTTTTCTTTTTTTTCATTTGAGTCTCCATTACTTTTTCTTCTCACCATAGATGTGGAGGATGGGTTTCCTCTTCCTTTGCAGAAACTGTTTCTGTATTTAATAGAAATATGTCGTATCTCAATCTTAGCTTCTGGTTTTACTCTGTTTAGATGGAGCCACCTCAATGAGTTCGCTCATTCACCCCTCGGAGCTCACCTTATTAATTCTCTTTTCTTGGACTTCTGTCATGGTTCCTCTTTTTCTTGAAAAGTTTCACCCAAAAATGGACTTGACCAAAACTGAGTAGTTTGGGAATTTGGGCTCCTATCAATGGAGAGAAGTTGCCTTGTTTGTGTCAACTTGATATTTATAATTTGTGCTCAGCCTGTGGTCCTCTCAGCCCCGAATCCTTATCTACAAACCAGCTGCTTGTTTCTATATTTGTGCAGGTGATTTTATTTTTTCCCTCTGAACAAAACTTGACCTTGGGGAATTGTACAGCATTTTTTAATCACTTCTCCAGTTTCATTAATTCCTCGCCCCAATAGTTTCCCATTGATTCATGCCTTTTTGTGGGAATAACATCAATTATGGGACTTTTCTTTCCACATGGCACTAGTACAGAGGCTTCATTGTCAGGTCTCTCGTTCCTTGTGCAGGCTCCTAACCTGGGAGGGGAAAGGTGACTGTAGCTCAGTTGGCTTTGGAATTGTCCCTTGTAACTGCTAATTATACATAGTTATTTTTACTCCTTTTGCAGTATTTCTCGCTGCTGGCAGTTCTATTAGAGTTAATTATTGTTACGGAAGACTTCATTTTGGCATGTTCTCTGGGAGGAGCATTGTTTTGTGACTGTTTCCCT